TTTGTTTTGTGGTTGGGGGGGGGGGGGGGGGGGGGTAAAAGATTACAAAACAAAATGTAAATGCAAATGCCAGGATAAAGCATTTTGAGGATATCATGGGAATTTTTTGTGAAAATGTGGCCTTGAGATAGATGAATTAGTGGAATCATTACGTTTTTTCCCTGTAGATAAGGAAATGAGATTTCCAACTAATCACAAACAGACTCTCTTGCCTAATAGGTGCTATTAACAATATTTTTTCTTACTATGCACAAGAGACCAACTTTGAAAATGACATAAAGTATGAGGAACTTCACACTACTATCAGTCTATTGTCATGATTGAATTTAATTTAAACAATTTAATGCCATTAGTTCACAATTGCATTTAAATGAATGTGAATTAATTCCAAAGCACTAAAACCACACTTATCAAAATACACCATTTGAATGAGCCAGATAAGTGACAGGAATGCCGACTAACGCAACAAGGGATGTTGTTGAAAATTGCTCTTTTCCGTTGTCTGATGGAGACTGACTGTGTCTCGTCAATCCAGAAGGATGGATTTGTAAGTTTAAAAATCAGTCAGATCAAAGTTGGATTTTATCAGGTCACTGGAGTGAAACAGGGGCATCTGGGAAGAGTTGTTCGGGCCTGGGCAGACTGCCTGAGACTTCTCAGCCCTAAACACTTACTTACACAGACAGAACATTCATCTGGATGTCTTTTGGGTCCCTACCAAAACACGATGTACATTTAAAATTGATGTTTCATTAGCTCAATGTTTACCCAGTTTGTTGAGTGTTTTGCAGACTGACTGAATGATGCCGTATACAAAGAGAGCTGTGTATATATCTACCACTAGGCCCTTTGTGAAGAGAAGTCTATTCTACCACTTGCACTGGGGCCACTTGTATTACTATGGCACTGGCTAGTACCTACTATAAAGCCTTAAATGACTTTAACTAAAAATGTCAAAATATACTATATATATATAATATGCAGGTTAAAATGAAAGGCACTGAAATAGATAATCACATACTGAACATGCCATTGAGTCCAAAGTTGTGTGGGTAGGTTAGTGTTTCCGTAACTGGAGTACATTAAAAATTAGAGTAGGCTATATTAAAAAAATGGAGTATATAAAAAATGCAAATTAGTCCATAAGCAATAATAAAATAACGCTAGACTGTCTATTTGCGCTCACCTGTGACATCTGTGGTCTGAGATTGATCTCTTTCAGGTTAATGGTGTCGGGTCTGAGATTGTTCAGCAGCTGGCACAGAAGCACCCCATCCCGAAGAGTTTGGGCCAAATCAAAAACCTGCGCCGAATCCGCCGTGACCCGATGATTCCGGGGCAAAACTTTACAATTGATCAGCCACAAGCTGCACTGCCTCCAGTACTCCATAATGCGCGTATAAAATTAAACCCAACAACTGTGAAATAAATCTGACACATCTGAATGAAGCTAAACTGTAGAAACAGCCGAAGCAGAGCGCACACCTTGCGTTACACTGTGTTTGTTTCTTTCTTTCTTTTTGAGCTTGCGCTCTTAGTTGCCAAAACGGAGACTTGTGCGCACTAATTTGGGTTTATCCGCGGTCTACCAAAACTATAAATCCCCATCCGCGGAGTTACGAATTCTAGTACGGCAAAGGTTTTGTAATAAGTGTAGAGTGCGGCATTGCATCGCAATCTTCCAATGATGAAGTCTTAGCTTATGAATATTCATTAATATTGTTGACGCTGCGTTGTTGATCTTCCAGTGGCGAAGATTCATCTCATGAATATTAAGGAGCAAGTCTTCACCATAGTAGGATAATTTCACCCCCCCCTCCCCCCCAATCAAATGCGCTTCCTTTTCCGTTAGTTTTGACTATCAGATTGACTCTGTTAACTACAGAAGGTCTTATTTATTTAGATCTCTTGCAGATATCTATCCTTCCTGTAAATATCATCCTGGATTTGAAGGCATTTGTATTACTCTGTTAAAACTGTAAAAACAAACAAAAAAAGAATGTCAATCATGTAGGATTAATAATGTTATAACAAAGAAAAACATTATGATGTTTTATTTTATTCATTTAGTCTTTTAGCAGACGCTTTTATCCAAAACGACTTACAAATGAGGACAATAAAAGCAGTCAAAACTAACAAAAGAGCAACAATATATAAGTGCAAATGACAAGTCTCGGTTAGCCTAACACAGTACACGTAGCAAGGTGTGTGTGTGTGTGTATGTGTATATATGTATATACATATACATACACACACACACACACACACACACATATATATATATATATACATATACACACATACACACATGATGTAGTGTAATGCAATAATTTGCAGCTTTTATAGGCAAAATAATCCCTTTTAGTGTGAATTAGAGGACATTCCAGATGTATTGAACATGGCTTTCCAGAGCTGATCATTAAACAAACAACGAAGGAGAAGTGGGTTTAGAGTAACAGTTAAACTCACACACAGACAGTACGTTATATATGCTCTTCCAGTAATGCAGATGTGCATATTTATCTGAAATAATGAGTATTTCAGTAAAACGATTATCATTATTAGACGATTCAGATAATTGTATGAATGCGAAAGTTGTCATATTTCGGGTGTTTCAGTTAATAAAATGAATGAATTGGCGAGTAGCAAATGTATAAAAATGAATTGCAATTGTTGTTCTTTTTTATTTAGTTAGTTAAATCAGGCATTGCCTATATTTTACATTTTTATAAAATATTAAAACCAGTCTACAAACAAATACATTGCACGTGCGTTGCTACGTTGCGTTGTCACGTGCTTAATTGCATCCAATCAGCAGCACGGAAAACGCAGTTCCATAACACAAGCGCTTTCACATTAAATGTGTTGTGTAACTTGTACACTTCAGACTTCGCTCGAAGAACATAAGATTTCAAGGTGAGAAACAGTTTCGTTTTAAACTGTATTAACCATTAGTACGAGTTTCATGTGTGTATGTTGCTGACGACGTATATATTCTAAGCTACATAAGGTAAGCGCTACAGTTTCTCTTTTATTTATTTGGGTTCTGTTTAACAGGCTACGGGCGTTTTATCTTGCTGTCACAGATGGCTCTTGCCCTGGCTGACAGGGCTATCGGAGCAATCATTGGATCAGCTGTTGCCGATGCTGCAGGTTTGCATTACTTGCGAATACTAGTAACAAAATATACCAAAAAGCCTTTTATATAACAAAACATATTTATATAACATATAAACATCTCTAATATATCACAACTGAATTGACGCAGACAATGTATTTACATAAGCATTTACAAGTATAAACTGACATTATTTTATGGAGATGCAATGTAATCATACATTATAATTATAGTTGCAGGTAATGTGTGAAACATGAACACTGTATTATCCTATAATCACATTTTTGTTGGTACTGTACATTCTGCAGCACAACCGCTCCATTGGGTCTATGACCTGCAGAAGCTGAGCGTGTTGCTCTCTCAGAGTCCTGAGCCTGAATTCCGCCCTGAGTCTGCAAACCCATTCTACAGGAGGAACACTGGACAGCAGAGCTGCTATGGAGATCAAGCATTCGTCCTCCTGGAGTCCCTGTCTGAGTGTGAAGGTGAAAAATACAAGATAGATACATTCCAGTATGTAAGAATATGAAAGGCGAAACTGTGTTTGAAAATCTGACTAGGATGGTATGAATATCACCATATTATTTGACCATGTTGTGGTTAATGGGATGTTGAATATTGAGTTATTTATTTGTTGGTTCAAACAGGTCTGAATGTGGAAGATTTGAAGCAGCGCACCTACAAATTCTTTGGACCTGGATCTGAATATGACACACCAGTCAATAATCCTTACAGAGACAAAGGAGGTAAATTAATCTACTGCACCGCAACATTTTCATATTTGTTTACTTTTTTTATTAGTTCTTCTTGAAATATTTGATGTGTTTGTTTTTCTACACTATGACAGCTCAAATGATCCTTTATATTACAATACAAACAATTGTGTGTACAGTATATATATATATATATATACGTGTGTGTGTGTGTAATTATATTTATATATTTATATGTCATTTATGTTATTTGATTTCTAATTATAAAATTATATATTATAAATATACATACAATACAAGCTTTTATATTTTCATTTTCCGTTTTCATTGTAATTTTACTTTCATTTTTAGTAATTTGTTATGTGCTTTTGTCATTTTTATTTATTTTTTTATTTTTATATTACTATTCAGCTTTCATATATTTATATCTCAGTTTTGTTAGTTTTTTTGCTTAGTTTGATGTTTTATTTATTTATTTTTTCATTTTTAGTGCTTCAGCTTAAGCTTATATTAGTTAGTTGCCAAGGAAACATTTCAAACTTTCGTTTAGTTAAAGTATTTCATGTAATATTTTTATTTTATTTCAGCTATACTTTATTTAAAAAAGATATATTTCTAGTTAACAATAGAACCATTTGAATTTGCATGTTTGTCATTTTGACTCATAAACCTAGACAGATGGTGTTTGTTTTGTTTTCAAATATGAGTTTTCCTGAATTATTCATGACTTTTACTTATTTTTGTTCTCAAGCTCCCAGGCCTCAACTACCTATTGAAGGACCCTGGAGACAAGCAAGCCTTAAGAGCTTTATTAAAAATGTGGATGCAGGCAAGCCAGAGACAGGTACTGTCAGTTATGTTGCTGAAAATGAAGTCAGATAACCATCACAAATATTTTGTGTAGCCACATTATTGCTAATAAATACTAATTCATTTGAATGTTTTTCAAATATATAATTATAATAACATTTTCAGTAATTTGGAAGGAGATAATAAAGCAATATAATATATTAAATCTTTATTGTGACACTTTTCAGGCTGTGAAACTGATAACCAAATAGATGGAGTGGCAAAGCTGGCTCCCATTGTAGCATGCTATGCTGGAAAACCAGAGATGTTGGAGAGAGTTGAGGAAGCCACCCGTGTCACGCAAAACAATGACATATGTGTGGCAGTAACTCTCGCTGCTGCTAGGTTGGTAATATACAGTATGATTGACATGAGATGTGTACATGCAGCTTAGCACAGCTTGCCTCAGAAACTAGGCTATTTATTTTGGTTTCCAACATAGAATGGTGGCAAATCACAAATTAGAATGTGTGAGGAAATGATATAGGAGCTGATCCCAATAATATAATAGGACGTATCAGTGTTCAATTTCTTTTTTCTTCAGGTTCTTGGAGCATTTCATCCTGAATGGTCCTGATCCCAAGGCCTTGGATGCAGTGCTGAAACAGCTCAATGACCCAAACAGAAAAAACCCTCAGGAGTTGGACAAAGCTATAATTGGTATACACCGCTTTAAATTGTTATTAGTATTGTGAGCTGGATACTTAGGGCATGTTTACATTTGGCAGGATTCATGTGAAACTTTGCATATCTCACAAAGACATAATTTAAAGGGGTCATATGATGCGATTTCAAGTTTTCCTTTCTCTTTGGAGTGTTACAAGCTGATTGTGCATAGATAAGATCCCTGAAGTTGCAAAGACTAAAGTCTCAAAACCAAAAAGATATTCTTTATCAAAGGTAAGACTCTGCCACGCCCCCCTAAAACGGCTCGTTCTAACACGCCCCCAAATATCTACCTCACTATGTGGAAATATTTGCATAATGTTCCAAATGTTCATGCAAAGAAAGAAGGCGTGGTTTCAGTAACCGCAGTTAGTAGCAGCCATGTCAGGGAGACGCTGTGTGTTTCTAGGCTAAAGCAAAAGCACTTTATTTGGCCTTCTGAAAGTAGATGCATTTAGAGAGAGAGAGAGAGAAGGGGGGGGAGGGGGTCACATCACAGTGGAGTCAGCTGTCTTAACCGTGGCTTGTGTACTGCAAACACATACCAGCTTCATCACTGTGTCTGTCACGCGACTCTGTTCCCCTTTCGGGCTCTGTCTTTACATTTATTTTGAAAGATGAAGCTTGCAATTATGGTAAGGGGCGTTACATTTCCGACGAGTGCTTGCGGTGTTCGGCCAATCACAATGCACTGGGTCAGCTGGCCAATCAGAGCAGACTGTGCTTGTCGGAAGGAGGGACTTTGTAGAAAACGAAGTGTTTGAAAGAGGCGGGGCATAGAGGACCTACAATAATGTGCAGTATTTGAAAAAGAATGTGTTTTTTGAACATTAAAGCATGTCAACATATTCTGTTACACCAAATACACAAAATAATGATCTTTAAAAAAGCATCATATGACCCCTTTAATATCAGAAATCAAACTTATTTTTGTTTTAATTTTCTAATTTAGGACACATTCATCAAGTAAAGGACAATCTGAGCAAGAAACCCAAAGAGCTCATTCCCACTGTGTTTCCAAATACTTGAGGTTAGTTACCTGCAGCTGATAACCTTTTATTATTCTCTTATGTCTATCCTTTGCACACAATACAGTTAGTCACAGGTATTTCAGCAGCTTTATCATGTCTCTCAGGTTTGCCGGGTGCATTCCAGGCAGCACTGCATGGGGTTCTGACAGCCAGTGGCTATGAGCAGGCTATTCGGGACACTATGAGCTGCGGTGGATGCACCTGTAGCAGGAGCTCCTTCATCGGCGCCTGCATTGGCGCTCAGGT